TGCATTTAATGTGTACTTACCATCAAAGCTCTTTCCTGTTATTCTGTAAAACCAATTAGCAGTTTACCAAATACCAAATTTCATGTTCGTGTGATTTCTTATTTCCTTGTCCAGCATGAAAAAAAGTGAAATGGCAATCATATACATTATTGTCTTGATAAATACATGATGTACTTTACACTATTAGATCATTTTCTAAGAGGGATTGGGGAACACCTTTTGTCTCAGAGATAGTTATTAGCCAGAGCACGTAAGTTTTTCTCATTGACAGACTAGTTCCTTTAGATACTTTGTGAAATTTAATAGCTTCTGTGTGTGTTGGTTTTGTTCTATACATATAATTTAGTTATTCTGCATTCTAAGTATAACAAAGCAGATCATTTCCCTATTACTTTCTTTTTGCCTTCTATCCCTTCTATTGCTTGTGTTTCAGAGATATATATGATGTTTTGTAAGGGGAATTCCTGGAATCTCATCTAGATCTTGAAATTAAGGAGAACCCTAAAGCTTCTGACCAGCAGCTGAATTAATTCAGCCCACAATGGATGCATTTGAGTTTGTGTCATAATAAATGTGTGTGCATTATTCAGAGAGAGCTCTTAATGTGATATGTCAGAGGTTACAGTATTTCCCAGACTGCGGGCATGTCTTCCTCCCTGCCTGCCAGCTGAGGTTACAGACAAGAGGGAGGATCACAAATTCTCTGAAATTGCAGCTGTAGTAAACAAAAATCTCTGCAAATTATTTTCATCGCAAGTGTAGCTGATGAAATGCTTGAATTACCAAGGAATATGACACTTCCTTGCTGAGTAATGAACTGTCTTCATTACATAAATGCATACGAAGTATCATTTATGATCTGTAAGTATCAGGGTTAATAACAGTTACACTGCTCCAAATACACGTTACAAAGAAATATTGTAGCATGAAAATCTGCTATCATTTCTCAAAGTGTGTACCTACGTATACAGAGATAGGTGGAGATTAGAAAATGACAAACTAATCTAATCACACACTAATAATTTTGAGTATTTGAGAAGGCGACAAGTGTTCACAAATTGTTTTGCTACTGAATTATCCATGCCGTTAAACCCATGTGCATGTTTTTTTGGTCTACAGTTGACTAGGTTCAGCTTTCAGCTTTGGTTTGTTGGATTTAAGAGACATCCACTAATGAAGCTCTTATTCATCTGTAAGTCTTCATGATGTGATCAAGTCCAGTCTTTGTTTCCGATTTGATTGACTGAGTACGATGGAAACTGTTGCTGAATTTGCTGGTTTATCCCGTATCTCATTTTTCAAAGATATTTACCTGAAAGACATAACCAAGAGGGTTTTGATTAGCTTGTCTTCCTTTTAAACACACACAGAATGGGAAGTGTACTTAGTTTTTTGTTCTATTTGGCATCAGTGCCTTGACAAAGGCAGTCATCAGGGGGATCATATTTGGGCAATTGTGTGTTCCATGTTGCTCTCATGTGAGTGTCCCACAAATGTCATCTGAAGAGCCAAAAGCAGAATCACTTTCCCAGGCACTGACCAGTGTTTTGAGCAGAGGCAATGAAACCATGTGTCTCACTCTGAAAGTCTGAATATAGTGCTCTTGCTCCAGGGCAACATACAGTTTTGAGAGCTTGAGAGAAAATTAGATTCTCCATGTAGAAAAAGTCAGATTTTATATTGAGAAATTCTGTCATGATAACACTTATGCAGATTTACCAAATTTCATGAAATTGCATTAATCAGGAGGAACTGCTAATTTTTCATTCTCAAATTAGTTGGAAAACTTTTCTCATTGCATGTGGTAGGGAAAAGAAGGGAAATCATATTGAATTTAAGTTAGGAACTTAAGTAATATTGTAATTCCTTTAAATAGGAAAAATAGGAAGAGAAAAATTGTCTATTCCTTTTTCCCTCTAAGATAGAAGTATGTGCTGTGTGTTTATTATCCCACTGAATATAGGAGAGACAGATTCCTAGGACTCTACCACTAGTATTTCTCAGTAGCATGAAGGTAGCAGATGAGGCATCTGGGTAGAATTTGAAGATAAGAGGGTCATGCAGTGTGCATGAACTGTCAAATTCCTTGATGGCTTTAATGACTGTATTTATCCGATCAGTAATTTAAAACAGCATCTAATAGTTGGAGTTACGGCACAGTCACAGGATACATTTAATTATGCAAAAATCTGTGTTTTCAGCTCTTGACATCTGCTCCCTCTTAGTCATTAGACTAATGGCTGTGTACTAATGCTACCAAGAACAATCATTTTCTTGTGGTCTGGTAATAAAAAGGAAAAAGAAGAGTGCTGTACTTTGCAGTTAATGGAAGAGACAAAGCCATGTCAAGATTATGGTGACAGTTAATCATTTCTATAATGAACATTATCTTTTTGTTGTCAAACTTCAGCTTTTTTCCCCCTCCTTTTTTCAGTTATGCTGAGGAAGAATGAAGACATGTTCTTACTATGAAGCTTGTTTTCTGCTCCCTCCCCCAGCCTTTAAGAAACAGCCTTCCTAATAGGAAAATTAATTTTTTACAGAGTAATACAAGAAACGTTACTTGTTTAAATGTTTTGCTCTTATTTGCAAGTCCTAAGGCTTTCTTTTAACAGCTACAGATAAAAATCCTGTTGTTTTCTCCATGGTTTCCTCTTTTCTGATGATTAGTATGACAGCATGCAAAAAGGACAGAGGTGTGCAACTCTTTTTGCTCATTTGAGTTCTCTGTTTACTCCTTGTGCCCCATTTTTGCACATTGGATTGATTGATGAAGAAGATACAGCAGGAAAAAAACCAAACATCCAAGTAAGGATCTTTTATATATATATATATAATATATATAGTAATAGTGTGGCTGGTACAGCTTTATAAATGTGGCTGCTTTTGACCTTAGCAGCTACAGTGTCATTATAGAATGATGCTTTACTGATTGATCTTTGGAATTCTACACTCTTAATTGAACTTGCCTTGAAAACATACTGTTGCTTTCTGGAAAAATAACAGACACTGGAACTTAAAATGGCTTATTGCTTGCATTAGAGAACACTTAAGAGTCTTTATTTCTTTAAAAATCATCTTTAGTTGTTTCCTTTGCTGGGGATACCTATCAAGCGAAGTGTCTGATCACAGTTGTTTGCATGCATTAGGGCTGCCTGGCTTTTAAGGGAAGTGTAGTTCCTTCAGTAGAATTATTCCAGCAAAACCCATAGTAACTCTTTCACCGCCAGGAAAGATGATTGGAAGGACTTAGAATCTACCCAATTCAGAGGAAAATAATTTTTGAATAGCAGTGGATTTTATTGATGCAACTGTAAGAGGAATACTATTTATCAATAAGGCTTATCATTATTTATGGCAGTTACTATCCAATACCTGTTGCTACCAGGCTTTCTACAAAACTTATTTTAATAAATATAAGTGATTTCTGATACAAGGATAAATGTTGTGGGTTTTGTTTTACTCAAACAAGTTTTGTATGTTTTAACAGATGTTTTGACAATGTGATATTGAATGTATTTTGGACTCTGCTCTTGTAGAGTTAGTATATTTAACTTGGAGATTTTGTCTTTATAAGGTACAATGATAATACGTCATAGCCTGGGAATAATAAGAAATTGAAATTAAGGAATGGAAGACAGTAAAATGCACCTCAAATTTTAACCAAAATCTTTTAATGGAGGGCAAGAATTGTGCCAGTATTTAATGTATGCTGGAAAGTTAATTTGGTTAAAATCTCAGAATGCAATGTGAAGCTTTTGCTTTCACAGGTTTTTACATATGTATTTCCAATGGAGCCAAAAACCCCCCTTGGCTTTTCATAAATGTAACTATGATTTCAGCAGAAATAAAACGATTGATTAACATTTAGATGATTATTCTTCAGAAGTATCACCCAGGCACTTTTTCCTTTTTTATAGAGTTCCCAGTGAGATCACAAAATTTCCTTTATCGCCGTCGGAAGACCAGCCAAGCTCCTCCCTCCATCCCTCCCCCAGCCATCCCAGTACAAAAGAAAACTTTCCACATGGGAGTTTGCTGGGTAGAGGGGATGTTCTTTGGAGTGGAATGGTGAAGGGGAGAAAAAGGAAGACTTTCAGTCTCTTTGCAGATGCAAGCTAGCTGAAATTAGCTTCAGAAATCAACGTGAAATTTGTGGTTTTTTTATTTTGCAGGGGTTGTTTGTAAGTATTTTGGTTTTGCTAAATATTTGTATGCTATGAGAAAACTCAATTGCTAATTTTCTTAATTTAAATCTAGGTATGTTTGATCAAAATATTTAGGAATTATACATGCAAGTTTGTATATACACAAGCGAATACGTGCACATATGCTTTTCAAATGGAGGGTGTGGGTTCGTTTTAGGTGCAAGGAGCATGTGCATCAGAAAATGTGACTTTAAGGTAGAACTGCTGTATTGCTGTAAACCTGCAGCTCTTCCTCTAGTTTACATGTGGCAGTATAAGATTTTACTAAACGTTAATGTATTTCTTATATTAACTACTAACCTGGTTCTGTTGGTTTGTTAAATTGGCTTATGCACAGTAGTCCTCGAATTTCATAGAATCATGGAATTATATGATTTGCTTTAGTACTATTTAGTCTGAGGTGTATTTATCTTAAAATAGTGACATTT